CCCAGATACAAAAAGTAGATAAGACCCTTGAGGCTGGTAAGAATGTCGGTGTGTGTGTGTGTGTCCTTGCTGTTGATGGGTGGAAGAGAAAAATCCCTCTATTTTCATGCATGTACTAGAGCAATTATTGTCAGCAGAGAAAAGAGAGCTAAAGTGTATGTTCAATGCTAAATTCTGTGTGTATGTGTGTGCACGCTTCAGTGTCTAGTACCCCCCACCATCCAACACACACACAGGAACACGTGTGTGTGTGTGTGTGTGTGTGTGCAGCAGAGCGACGGAGAAGGGGTGGGGGGAGTTTGTTTAATGGGCGAGACAGGGGACCATGGGGATTAAGCTCCCCCCAGCTGGAGGCTTTAGAGGAAAGGCTGGGGGCTGTCCTGTTAATTCAAGTGGGCTTAATAATGCCTGTGCCCCCTCTGCCCCTGACCCTCCCACCACTACATCAGATCTGGGAGGAAACGCATGATAAAGGGAGACAAGCAGGAGGAGGGGAAGGAGGAGGGAGTGTGTCAGTGCGTGTGTGTGCGTACAACCTGTGGCCATCTCTACACTGGAGCATGGGCTCGGGGGACTGCAGAGAGATTTCGCCTCCATATTACTTCGCTGCTCTCCGGCTTTGGCAACGGGCCTTTCTGTTGCTCCACTTTCACACCACAGCCAGCTTTGTTGGAGCTGCATTAGGATTAATCAACACCCAAAACAATATGGCAAATGCTATCAACTGGGTCAAGCGCTGTGCCACTATCAAATTAGGCTTTTTCCTATTAAACCAATGAACTGTGCAAGGAACGGTGGATTAGAAATGCAGTCTTTGACTTTAAAAGCTAGATGAAACCTCCCTAAACCTGGGTCTACTTTGTGTCTAAGGGGACAACTATCTGACATAAGCAAAACCAATGCAATGTTTCTACATCCTGGCAAATCTATTAAAAAGGGAAGCACCTCCACTAGGAATTACTAACGTCTGAGCACACAATATCTACCCAAATAACAAAGAACAAAATGTCAAACTGTGGATGACGGAGATTAACCCGTAAAGAGCATCTGTAAAGAAAGCTAATGGGAAAGAATGACCCGCGTGTTAAGGCCCGGACACACCAAGCTGACACCAAAGAACTGACACAGACGGACCCCCGACTGTTGTGTCGCCTCGCGTCTCTGCGTCTTGGCCATGTGTCGCACTGGAACACACCGCAAAGACTTCAGCCGACGGCCAAGAAGCACGTACGAACTGCGCATGCGTGAGTGGCAATAACTCTCCTTACCAGCAGGCGGCGGTAGTGTGTATTCGTCATTCAAAAGAGGCAACAACCGGAAGACAGACGGCGTGATAACCAGAGAAGAAGAACAGACTGCGTGAAATAAACAAATGGCGTGTGCGTTCCATTTTCACTCTACAACGAGAAGCTCATGGGGCTTTCCCGAACCTGTGTCGAGAGCTGGAGTTAAATGAAATCGACATGGGTTTTCGGCCGAAAAGGTGTCGGCACGGCTGAAAAGACACGACGGTGCGGGACACACCAATCTGAGTAGGACGCCCATCGACGGCCAAAATCGGCTTGGTGTGTCCGGGCCTCTAGACAGGAACATCTCTCTTGTTTCTAAGTAAGCATCAGCTAAAAGCCATGCATGAGGCTCTTTTACTGCTGCTCTCTTACACTTTAATTTACAAAAAAAATAGCTTTGAGTATCCAAGCAAGGCAAACATCTTCAATCGGCTTCTCTAAAACCCCCATGAAAAGCCTATACATAATTGTAATGCAGTTGTGACCACGCATCACTACCGTTGCCAAATCCTCTGCTGCTTTAAATCCTCACACGAGAGGATCCTTGATTGTGCCTTCCATGGTGGGAATGTAGCGCTTTTGTTCACATCACACTGAATTTTAACGCTAATGGTACTGCAGAGAGAACAAAGGAAACGAGAAGGAAAGCATATTTGGTGCTGACCGAGTCATTTTGGAGAGATCCATCATCTGTCATTATGAGACAGTGCTGTTACTCTCATCCTCCAGCTCCTTATCTTTGACACTCATATCTATATGAGTGTCACATATTCTCCCCATCCTCAGGCCCCTGTGACAGGAGCAGCTGAGGAGGAAGAGGATTGAAGAAAAAGACGTGTGTGTACTGTATATTTATGTTTTAAGCCAGAGGAGAGGGTGGGGGGGGGGGTCGACACACAGGTGTATTTGTGGAAATGGCTTGTTGTAGCAGGTTAAGGCTGAAGCAGCTGCAGAACGAGAGAAGGGACATCCTAAATTCCCAAATCCCATATTTAATCCTGTGTGCCGGGTCTTAATGCCCCAATCAAGCAGCATAAGGGCACTCAATTGGATTAGAAAAATAACCTGCTATCAGAAAGGCAGGCAGGCGGCATGGAGGGGCCCAGCTGCTCTCACCTTGGAGAAGGTGAGTGATTTCTCACCCCTTCAGGAGGTGCCTCACCCAGAGGAAGGAGGGTGGTAAAAACAGGGCTCTTAAGTGACATTTCGTCCCAGTAATTTGCTCAATTAAGTGCAGCAATATATTATCTCAAAATAATGATGAAACAGAATATTACAAATATGGCTGCAGTTCTGTTTCTCCAGCCTAACTTGAAGAGCAGAAATAACAAGACTAACTCCACTCCTTAATTGGGCTTGTCAACTAGCCAGAAGCTTGCTTGTCATACCTTTTTCTACCAAAATGATGCCATATATGGAAGTCTTTTTATATAAATGATTCCATATATGGAAGTCTTTTTATATAAATGTGTTTTGACTTTTGAGTTGTATGATGAAAAGGAAACAATAGAGTCCCCAAAGTATTTTGCACCCTAACTATGTTTTCCCTTTACACCTGAAAAAGTGGCTTTTTATGTGAAACAAAAAGGACTTCTTTGATTGAAGATATGTTTACAGACGAAAGCAGAGTAGGTTTTTTGATTTTCCGTTTGAATTGTTCTCTAAAAACACAAACAAAAATCCACTTAGATCATCAATTTCAGAACACTTAAGTTAAACTCAGTAGGATGAGCAGCTTATACAGGATTTCACTTATCTGACAAGCCAGGCCAGAGGTTCACAAATCCTCACATCCTGCTGTCTGAAACACACATGAGCTGACTCCCATCAGCAGCAGCCGCACAATCAGGCTGCCACACATACTGGCTGCCAAAGGGCAAACACATTCATGTCACAAAGACTTTCAGGTTCTAGCTCCGGTAAACAGCTCTTCTGCTTTGAGTAGTAGAATAACTAGCGGTGGAGACAAGACGTTGCCAGGGAGAAGCAGTGGGCACAGTCCCTGGCGACATAAAATACTTTCTGCTGTTGTGTTTACCTGCGCTGCACTGACACTGACACGCACACACACACACACCTTTTTGTTAGATTCGCCCTTGCAAAGGAAAGGTGAAATGGCAGCCAAAACCAGAAGGTGAAAATACAGGCTAGTCACTACATGTGGATTCCTTTTGGCACAGTAAGAAGCCAATTAAATTGACTTATTCAATTTTAAGTGCCGAAAAAAAAACGCCAAATGTTTTGCTAGGCGATTAATCCAAGAAAGAAAAATCGAAACATTTGTTGGTCAAAGCTTCTCAAATGCAATGATTTGATGCTTTTTGTTGCAGTACCAGATTATAAAAAGGAGTATTCTAGGGTGTTTTTATTTAAAATGAAGGCGCCTACAACTGTTTTATGGCATATTTATAAAAAAAACAGATGAATCCATTAAATAAGAAAATAGTCAAGTACACATCAGACAACGTAACACATATAGGGTTTTCAGTAACCAAGGCTAAAAAGCGAAGATTAATGTCGGCACGAAACTCTCTTTTCGTGATACTCTTCATAGGTCTTGCTCGTTTGCCATTAGTCTGCACAACATAAAGAAATGTTGCGTCTTGCAAAAACACTGTTAAATATTGCTAAACGATATTACTTGCGATAAACCGATATAAAGTGCACTTTCTGTGAATTCCAGCAAATTGCTAATTGAATTACAGAAATAAAAAGGAGATTATTCCCATCATTCTTTTACTCAACGTTTTATTCTCTCACACAAACTAATCTACTGAATTGCTGAAATGATAACTTCTGCAAAGTTGTAATGACAGACATACCTGCATATTTTCACAGTGACAAGTAACACAATTCAGGCAGTCACTTAACATAAATGTTTGACCAATGGGCTGAGAGCCCTCATCCCTGATGAATACATGCCCTGGACTGAGTCTCTGTTACCATGGAAACTTGAGATTTAGGGGGAACAGAGGAGATGTGAGCCTTTTACAGTCATAAAAAAATTGTGTACAATGAATTGTGTGGGTTTGACAACACCACTATATTTTGCTACACCTACACCCCAAGACATTAAACATACATTATGGCACTTTTTTCAAAATGCAGCCCATTGAAAATGCACTGACACAAGGGTGAACACATCTTATAGTTGTGAAATGTGACAGCACTCATTAGATTTGTAGGATTTTTACAGGAGTCCATTATCTGGGGAACAGTTAATGGACTCCAGTTTAAGTCCCGAATACATAATGTTTTAGTACTTTGCACTATTGTAATGTAAATTACGCAATGTCTATACTGGATGTGTAAATACTAAATATTTCCATTTGAGTATTGTGAATATGTATACATTTGCTGTTAATATTATTTGTTATTATTTATATATTTATTTTATCTTTAACTCACGTGCAATGCTTGACAACACTGCTGCTGTGACAAAATAATTTCCCAATTAGGGATGAATAAAAGTATCAATCTTTTCTCTACCATTATGTCTCTATTTTATAATGCCAAATGACACCTCTTCTGTAAAACTTACCAGAATTAAACAATGCAATGATTACTGCCCAAAACTTTGTTCCTCATCATACCTCTTTACATTATATTACCTGCAAAAAAACAAGTTGCATGCATACTTTCACCTAATAACTACCCTGCTACTGTAGAGTCTATATTTCTGCAAAAAATGTCAAATTGAAAACCACTTACTGAGTGTCTTGATTGTGGAAACATCATGTCAATTCCTTGTTGTAGCTCTCCTTCCCAAACACCAATCAACTGAGTGCGTTGTGTTTATATTTCTCCTTGCGTTGGTCCTTTGTCCAAAGCTAGCCCTGCCTGCCTCGCACAGGAGCTGTCCAGCGTTAGCACAGGATGCTAACGGTAGCTAGCGACCCCCCTAAAAAAATAATTAAGCCGAATATAAGTAATTCACGTCGAAGTAAAAGAGTCCTTGTCTGGTTGGTGCTAGACCATTCAGTTGCACTTGTCCCAACACCGTGTTTAATGTGTCAGACAACAGGAACCGTACCAGCAGATTTTAGCTAAAGCTAGCTAATTCTTCAAAAGCTGTCAGTCAAAATGATCCATCGCAGTTGAAAGCTTTCCGCGTTTAACGCTCGAGCGGCAGCGACGCTAACTCAACGCGTGTAAATATAAAAAAACGTTACGCTAACCGTTTATGGCTTTAAGCTAGGGAAACACGGAGGATAACGGTGTCTTCCTTTTTCTTGTGGCGGTCCTTCAAAGCTGCTCAGGTCTCTTGTTTTCAGCTGCGACTGTGCTGATGAAAAAGTAAAGAGGAGGAGTAGAAAAAAAACGGTCTAATTCTCAGAAATAACAAAATGTCTGCGGGTTCGTTTAAGTTGAACCGTCCAACGGCTACAAAGAAGTCGTGCGAGTGGTGGAAAATGGAAATCAGTGTCGTCGTTAAGACTGTTAATTAACTTTAAATTAAAACGACACAAAGCTGGAGATAAACTCAGAACGTTTATCCGTGGAGAGTCGTGGAGGAACGAGTGGATTCTTCAGTGGTGGTGAAGCTACAAAGTCAGTCCATTCCTGGAGCTGGTGGGTAGAGCTGAGAACGCCCCACACAGAACCACCGCGGATAGATCGGCGGGGCGCCGCGGATCTACACGCCGCAGATCTAGCTCCTCAGCCGGCTGATGTCTGGGCAAATAGCGCCTCATGTGGACAAGTCCCCGCACCGTCACTGCCTGTATTAACGAGGATTTATTAATAATAATAATAATAATAATAATAATAATACTAGTTTCAAGTTTCATGGCTTTTATTGTCATGTGTGCATAGCTGCAGTGTAGTTATGACAATTCAAATATTAGGTCACAGGCTCCTCCAACAGTGCAACACAATAAAACAGATAAAATAGCGCAAGTAAATAAAATAGAATATAATAGAATATGATAGAAACTGTGCAGAATAGTCTATACACTAATTGAAATATTGATATATATATATAGTGAGTTGCAAACAGATGAATGTTATGTATGTTCTTTCAAAAGTGTTTAACAGTCGTATGGCCTGTGGGATGAAACTACTACTACTAATAATAATACTACTACTAATAATGATATATAATAAATACAAATAAGGACTACATATATACACGAAAAAACACAGGAAGTACACATCAAATCCCTCTATTTCTACATATCTCGATCTATTCACATTTTAATATATTCTCCTATATTCATATTTATTAAGAATTTCATGTATAATTGAAAATCAGACAGACTGAATTGGTACTTTATCATTACAGTAGCTCCATTTTATAATAACAAAACATTAAAGTTGGAGAGATGTAAAAGTAAAACAAATGTACTTCAATAAACTGTATACCAATACATATATATAAAACGTGTATATTACAATAAAGTAGTACATTTTATTATATTAAAGCTGAAAATGGTTCATATGGTTAAGTCCTTACCGAAAAGTATTATTAAGATACACAATATTGCTTGAAAAATACAGTTGAAGCTCAGTCCATTATGCTACACACTAAAAATATTAAATTAATATTAATTACAAATATTATTCCATCATTATAACTTTTACTATCAGTTCATTGCACCTTATACTAGGCCTATATATTATACCTCATACTAGTATAACATCGCATACTATGTGAAGATGTTATACCGTCTTACCTTATCAAAAAAACATTATGTTTCTATTTTGCTAGATCAATACAGATTAGCATCATATTCATAACTAAATCACAGTTTTATTCTGGAACATATATATACTAGACTGGCTGCTTTAAATTCAACATGTATCCTTATTTCCTAACTTTGCCCTTATAACTACTGTGAAGGAAAAAACATTTTTATACTATAATACTCTGATATACACTTTTTCTAATAGTTGCAACTTACATTTTATTTTAAAAGTTTTAATAATCATTATTTCCCCTCACCAGGTCTCTGAACATTTCTAACATTTCACAAATAAAACGTGTCCGCCATAATGGTTAAATAAAAAGCCTTTAAAAAGAGTGTCGATATAAATAATTGTTTTATTATTTATAATCTTTCACTATTTATAATTTTAGACTGTTTTATTTACATTTTGAAAGAAAACGTTTTCCCATAGGATCCCATAGAAAATGCATGCGGGTAATTTTTGACCCACTTATGGAAGCTTGGGGTTGTAATACAAAAACTACAATTTCTTAAAATGTAAATTAAAATTTTGAATGGCATGATATCCAAAACATGTTTTTTGAGGAATAGCTGGAATATGAAATGATAAAAAAAATGTAATTACAAAGATACTTCTAGAAAACCACCTCACCGGGTCAAAAAAGACCCACTTATGCATCTAAGGGTTTTAAGAGAAGAAATACTAAACCATTGGATTGCATTATTTTCGGTATCAGACTTGAATAGTTTGAAAGTGGTATTATCCTTTAATCACAATACAAACAGACTGCAAAGAATAATGTACAAGGATGCAATAAGAGAGTATAGGAACATATTTTATTCCAATTTAAAACATTTAAAGGAGAAGGCTATGAAAATCATTTTCATGTTTGAATGAGGTTCAGGCAACAGTGGTTGAAATGAAACATACAAAAGAGAAATATGGCTAAAATACTGTAAATCAATAACCATTAGGACCCTTTTTCATGAGGGCGTTGCATGAATACAGTATCTCACCCCCCCACTCCCCCCCCCCCCCCAACCTGACAAACACATGCAGTAAAATGACATTTATCTTAAAAACAGCAGTTCATCATTAATCTTAAATATAGAATAAAATTGTCCTTTTTTTTTGTTAATTAATCACATGTGTTTATTTGTTTTAAAAACTGGACCATGAAATTCACCGGCCCTTTGATTTTTCACAACATTGGCACTTGTCAAGAGTCTGGCTTTACAAAGAAAGGGGATTGGCACACTCATTGTACATAATTTACATTTGGTATACTTAAAAAAAAGAAAAGAGAAAGAAGAAAAAAAAAAATCAAACAAAAACACATTACTTTCAATTTGTACACCACTACACAAAGTTTATTTTTTACTCTTTTAAAAAAGTCTGTCATCTTAAGTGGTCCTAAATACACGTGTTAAGGTGTGTTAACCTCACAAAAGAAACAAAAATATGCAAAGATAGCTTTTTAATATCACCGTATGTCCATCCCTCTAATCAGAATGGATCTCAAGCTTAAGCAATAGCCATCAAAAGTGTACACATACATACACACGCACACACACACCTCGGAGTACCAACGAGTGCTTTAACGGACGTCTAAGTTGCATGAATGCAGCGGTGCAGCTTCAGTGCCTTCGACCCGGGGAAAGATACACAGTCCAATAAAGTAAATCAGGGAAAGAGAGCGGAGAATGGCGGACATGTAAACACAGAGTATTAATTCTACCGATTACAACCACCAACATATTACATAATGGTCATTTCAGTACCTTCACATGGCAAGTCTTTCAATAAATACAGTAATACTGAGGCTTAACACACAAGCTTCATTTGGAAAAGAAAAGACACCAAAATGTAAAAGTGAATTAGGAATATTTCGTATCTTTTCTGTGTCGGATGTTGTTTGGCACTGTGTACTACTTACATTTCATAAAAACCTTCTAAATAACACACAACCGGGATGCAACTCAAGAGCATTTTTATTTTCCTCGATGAATCAATTAGTCGTCTTGTTTTTTAAATGTCAGAAAAGGGTGAAAAATGTTTCCTGATGCCTGCGATTACCTCCTCAAATGTCTTGCTTTATCCACAACTCAAAGAAATTCAAATGTTATGTCGTAGAGAAGTAAATAAATCACAAGATGTTAACATTTAAGACGTTTTGAGTCCAAGATTTTTGACTTTTTGTGTAAAAAAACAACTCTAACAGACTCCTCAATTATCAAAATAGTTGTCTAGTTGCCAAATAATGATTACGGTTTGCTGAATTAATGCAGATTAAAGCAAATCAGTGGAAGTCAATGGAAAGAATTTCAAATAAACGACCCAGCTCTGCTCGTATCACTGGTCGAGTAAAAAATGTGACGTTTGTCTTTGTCTGTCCTTGCATAAGGTTGTTAAAACTGATGCAAAGTTTTTTTTAAAAGAGTACGACATCCTGCCAACACTGGTCCCCATAGTGGGACCACTTTGTTTATCGCTCTCATAGCAGTCCATTCAAATCCATTTGTTGCAACATCTCATCTACAAGAGGATACACACACACACACACACACTCCTGCCCTTGAAGTGTGCCACCTGAAAGCCAAGCTGAGGGTTTTAAAACCACACAGACATGTCATCCCAGCAGTGAAGCAAAACACAATACTCCTTTCCAAACTCGACTGGTTTAATCGACTGACAAACATGCACAAGCTCTTCATTTCAAACAAAAGTGACACCCACAAGATGACTGTCTGTCAGCGAGGAAGTGTAAGAAGCGTCAACCTGGACAAGAAGGCGTTTAAATGTCGGCTGAAGCACCGAAGATTAACCCACTACAAATACAAGATGGAAAAACAAGATCTCATCAGAAATTCACGTCAAAGTCAGAAACCTCTCCAACATTTTTTCAACTCATAGAATGGCACTTAGCATAAACATCCCTTCTTCATTAATGTGTCTTAGAAAGATTTAACAACATCATTTACACATCTGCACCAGAGAAGATTACTCTCACTGGGTGCACGGGACTAAAATCAATCATAAGCAATACACAGGGTGAGTGAATGTCTCTAGAACTTTTCAGATCATACTACCTTTTTGTAGAAAATACGATGTATATTCATTTGTAAACCTTTTGGCAAACAATTTAATTTACACAGAGGGGGTACGGATGGATCTGTAATCCAAAAAAACACTGCCCTTCAACCAATGCGAAACACTACAAATTAGAAGACATGCCACATAGTGGAAAAATATTAGAAAGCCAAGAAAATCAGCACATAATCCATGTAAGTGTAAGAGGATGGTTAGATTCGGCATGACGCTAAAAAAACGTGCTATTGCACCTTGGGAAACCCTACTTCTTCTCCTCTAAATAGGCCAGAAGATAGCAAAGAAAGGACTGCTGCACCCCCCCCCCCCTCCCCCTCCCCCACACTCTCCTTCAATGAACCTGAACACACTCTTGATTTAAAGCCCCTCGTTAATTAATTAATTGCACCTTTTGCTCTATGCCGTCCATAGAGTCCTTTCATGTCTACCAAAGCTGCTAGTAGTAGCCCTTGTGATGAAAAAGTTATGAAAACTTACCTGAATTACATTGTGAAGACAAAAAATAGCCATCTAACAGCTTAATGGAAATATTAGAACAACGACCAGGCAAGAGACACGATATGGGATTGGAACCAATAAGCCAACACATATCCGTAAGAATTACCACAAAACAAAGCAAGCATCTTCGACAGTAAATATCCAACCACTACGTTTTTATCTTTCTTTTTCCTATTTGCATAAAGCACAAACCCGACATGGAAACAGTGTTTTCTTTTCCCCATTGTCAAGCGTTTCAAAACAGAACTGCAACAACTGAATATATGAAGTATCGTTATAAAGATAGAACACTTGTCCATAAAATAGTTTTTTTTACAGCAGTATAAAATCTCCTCCCGTCTCATTGGTTGGAAAAAGCTGAAACTAGGGAGGAAGTCTCACTTACTGTACCGACAACACTTAGATCTGATAAATTAGACGTACAAAAAAAGAACTGTTTACTCTCTTGCTATCCGTTATCAAATGTTGGCTGAATAATATGGCAAAGGAAAGAGTTGATTAGGGAGAAAAAGCATGATCAAGACCAACTGGTGATTTAAGCTAAGTGTGAGCGCGTTGTTTCCTCGACAACAGACTATTGCACTGCTCCAATCTGGTGTCATCACTCGCTCGTTGTGCACAGGAAGATTATTCTCACCTTCAAAAAGGGAACATAGAAAATAAATTACAGTACTAATACATTTGTGATTCAGACAAGTCGACGTAAAAAAATGCCACACAAAGTGAGCCGTTATGCCATCTACATATTAATTATTCAAGCACTTCATTTTGGCAATACCAGTTTCCAAATTGTGTTAGCATCTGAGCCGCGTAAAGGACGAACAGGATACTGGCAAATATATTTACAGAAACAAAAGGAGGCGTTTGTAATTTGTCAATGTGATGATATACAGTATGTGAAAACCACTAGTGTTGTCTCTTAATTCTGTGTGTTGTAATGCATGTTTGAAACGAGGGGTAGTGTAAATGGAGTATACCTTCGAGTAGTCATCTTCAATTTAAATGTAATTGCAGAAAAGCAGATATATTATCGCTAAGAAGAAGCTGAAAAAGTGTACAGAGAATCGTCTCTGTGCAGCCCTCACTCTGTGTGAGCAGCATGACAACTTTATTTACATTCAACAGAGCTTCTGTGCTCTGATTTGGGGCAAAAAGGAAAGAAAACAAGACCCGGGAAAAGCAAGTACCTCACTGCACCCCCGCACTGCGTGATAATATATTCCTATTATCGTAATTAGTGACCCAGGGTCTGCAGCCGGCCCTCCTCTGTAGTGTATAACATGCACGGGTTAAATAAGAACAAGGGGAGAGAGCCCTTTTTCCATCAAATCTACCCAGAGAAGCCTCGACCCACCTGCAACACACAAGCACTGGTGATAATGTAGTGTAAAAGAAATAATGTGAGCCGTGTCCAGGAAAAACCCTAAAAAAGGGGACAAATGGGAGAGTTGTATTTGGGTTTGTACAAGCGGAACCACAAAACAGATACAAAAATGTGAAAGTAAGGACAGGACATGTGTAGTGTTGGTCTGCTAGAGTGAAGTGTGTTTCATGCAGATGTGTGTGTCTGTAGAAGTGGACTCTGCATTGTGTGTGTGGGGGGGGGGCTGCAGGTCACTCTCTCTCTCTCTCTCTCTCTCCTCTCTCTCTCTTTCGCTCTCCTTCTCTCCTCACACCAGGTTGTATTCTTTGAGGTTGAGCTGCAGGATGGTGTCTTTGACGGCGGCGAAGACGAAGCGGATGTTCTCCGTGTCGGTGGCGCAGGTGAAGTGGGAGTAGATGATCTTGTCGCTGTCGGGGTTCAAGTCCACAAACATCTTCAGGATGAACTCCCGGCCCGCCTGGGCGTCCCGCTGAGGACCTGGAAGAGGAGACAGACCATTACTTTTAGCTTCTAGTGAGCGGCACGTCAGCATAATAAGATGAGATACATCTTTATTAATCCTGAAGGAAATTCAGGTGTCAGAGAAGCAACAGCAATACAAGTGAAACACAGGAGAGGACAGAGAGGAGTACATATAACAATAGGATTTATTAATTTAAAATATATTATAAAGTCAGTTTAACAGAACTAGCTTTGGCCAGTAATGAATATGTTAGAGGTCCAGTTATAGGCGACAGTTTGCCTGTTCTCTAACATTTTCTCTGTCTTTGTCGACAACAAACTCTCCCTTACCCCTGTACTGTGAACCTTTGCACATTCCTCTGACAATTGTGCACATTTCTAAACAATGCTTCCAAGTCTAATCAGATATACTGGACATATTTTTCACAGTAATTTACCAATTATTTGTGTATTTTCTAAAGATTGTAAATGTAAATGTTTTGTTTATTTTAGGTCGCATTCACACCAGCCTTGTATAGTCCGGTTGAATCGAACCCTGGTGCGTTTAGCCGCTTGGTGCGGTTCGTTTGGGTCGGTGTGAACACAGTCCGAGACCTCTGAAGTGAACTAAACAACCGGACTCTGGTCCACCTAAAAGAGGTGGTCTCGGACCGCTTGCTAGTGAACTCTGGAGCGGTTCATCGCTGGTGTGAACGCAGTCCGCACCAAAACACAGGAAGCGTAGTATTTACGCGTCACAAGAACGCGGATGTCTTCAGAATCGTTAGCGAAAGAGTGAAGCAGAGTGAAGTGTTGAACAGTGTCGTGTAAATTAAAAACAGCTATCAAACTAAAAACTATACATAAAAGTCAGAGCCACCTGCCGTCGGTGAAACCCCCTCCTTACTGCAGAACGTCTCATTATATGTGTTATAATGTTTTGTATCGCACGTTGTCTGATTATATAATCACATGCGCCGTCTGTTAGAGTCCATTGATATGCTCTCCAGATTAACAACAGCATGAAAATAACCTGCCGATGCTCCATGGCGGAGGCTCCGCTAGAAATTGCCGGGATTTGCGTTTTTACCCCCGTAATGTCTGACCAATTGTTGAACAGCATTTCCGAGCACATGAGTTGTTTGTTTGTTTGTAGCCTTTAGTTAACCAGGTAAAATCCCATTGAGATCAATGATCTTTTTTTCAAGGGAGACCTGCAGCACATTGGTTACACATAAAAACAACAGAAAACAAAAAGGACATCATACAACATAATTACAGGGGTACAAATTACAAACAGACTTGTGTTTAAAGTTTATAGTCCGTTTGAGTTTTGCCCGTGTGAACGCAAACCGAACCTTCTGAAAAATGAAACAAACTCTCGTCTGGTGCGCACCTGAGAAGCAGACTATTAGGTGTGAATGCGACCTTAATCTCTCAGTTTATTACCTTATTTTTTTTAAATTATACTTTGTTTGAAAAAAACATAACAAATATTTGGTAAATACAATGTATCTTTTTCTTTTACCGTCTCCTCTTTTAGAGGTAGAACAAATACTCACCTGTAACTTGTGTAACGTTACTGTCTTTCTCTCTTTTGTTATATTTGATCATTCACAGATAAACTACTACAAGTTCAGTTTGCATTGTAGTACAGCCTTATAGCCATAGGGTGTCACTGTTCAATCAGAGATATAAATGAAAGCTTTCTGTGTGTACTGGTTTGGTGTACATTATGGTAAAGGGTAAAACACATCCACAGCATTACTGACAGACACTGACCGATGGCTGAACTCCTGCCCTGTTTGGATAATTCATTAAATAAATGCTGGAATTAAATTCACTGCTGAAGCTCAGCTAACACGCTCCTGCACAACACAACCATTCAGGGACACCATATAACAAGTATGCATTTATTAAGAAGTCTAATCAATTATGGACATAAATTATATCTAAACTATGCAACACTGTCTATGCTTCTAATATAATGTGCAATAATTATTCAAGTATGGAACACTCACATCACTTTTGCTATTAATACTGCACTTTTCAAGCAATGTTCTTATACCTTTCAGCATTAAAAACGTAACCACAGCGCCCATTTTCAGCATCACTATTAAAACACTATTGTATTTATTGTAAGTTACAGATTTAGTGTTATATATTTTAGCATAATGTCCACATTTGTACACCAACTTCTCAAAGTTTACTTTTAAATGGAGCCACTGTGACATGAATGTGATAAAGTATATCTGATTCAAGAGAAGATTGAAAGCAGAAAGAATCTGGTTTTACCATCGAACTCAGGGAAGTAGTCGACCAGGTGCGAGTACATGATCTTCTCCTCCAGCAGGTCCTTCTTGTTGAGGAAGAGGATGACGGAGGAGTTTTGGAACCACGGATATGTGATGATGGTCCTGAACAGAGCTTTACTCTCCTCCATACGATTCTGACAGGGGACAGGGAGGGTGGAGAGGAGAGGGGAAATAAACAAAAGGTTAGGAGACACTCAGAACACAAGTTCCAGAGTTTCACTTCAAGCTCATCTTGGCCAAAAGAATTGATGATAACGATACCTTCATGTTATCTATAAAAAATATATATAAATTAGAGTAACGTTCTTAATTCAATTAATCTCTAACTGTCTCTTTATTGTATGTTATCTCTTATTTGGCAAATATTTTTACCCAAACCATGACTATGAGGAGCTGAGGAGGAAGTTGACGATCATAAGTATAAAACTGTTTCAAAACAAAGAGACTTAAATAATTTGTTCAGGGTATATGCAGGAATCCTGAAGTCAGATGTAAAACCTTTTAAGACCTTTTTTAAGACCCTTTCCATACATTTGAAGACCTCATCGCCACTTTGAGTTGTAACCGGTTACATTGGCGACACACTTCACCTCACATTCACTATATACAGTATTGATTGTCTTTCCTCCTTATCTTCCAACCATTTGGACGCAAACTTGCATTTCCCCATAACGATGTTGTTTAACAACCGGCGTAAACGGACCTTCGCGCGCTATCAAGCAGTGAGCGCGCGATGTCCTGTTCAGATGACGTCAAATCCAACGGGATGCCATAAATAAACTACACAGAATCACACTACACACCTACGCAATGATTACATTCAGGCAGACTGTAGAACACAACCTCTTTGGACAATTGATATACTTATTGAAAACAAGCTACAAAATGTAATACCTTGGAAAATGCCGTTTAATACTTTTTAATAGCCTTCATTTTCGATAAATTGATTTATCAACTTTTAATACTTTTTAAGACCCCGCGGACACCCTGTTGTTGTATTCGGAGGATTGTTTTTTGTCAAAGTGCTTTTAAAACACTAACATTTGGTTGCTAATAGTAATGCATTTATGCTGTATGTCATCCAGTTGAGTGCAGCATTCACGGTGAATACAGGGTTTGTTGTAGTAACGGATGAGTAACATAAAAAATTGTCAAAACTAAGACTTATTCCTCCAAAGAAAACTGTCTAGCAATCCTAAAAAGTGGAGCTGGAAGCCTCCTTATGTAAACTACTTAAAGCTGAGAGCTGCTGTCTTCTTTCTCTTTCTGAACTGCTGTCGCTGCCAGCATCACTCCCACAGTTTAGTCTCGGCGAGTCTTAATATGATCCTGACCCGATGAAATCACAGATGTTTGAAAACAATCTCGTCAGGCTCGGACTGCTCTGAAGGGTCAAAGTCTCGCCTGTCAACGCAACCGGATAATCTGAGCAGACAGTGACGCCTGAATGCAGCACAGCCTCGTCTCAGCTCTCTAACATTCAGGAACGGAGCTCAGTTACAGCACCAAAGTGACACAGAGGTGCAGGAATGAGTCCTAAAGCCCTCAAATGAGTTGGCATTGAAGCACTTCCCTTTACTCGAAGACAATGGTTCTTTGGATGTTTGTTTTTTCAGTTAGAAGACATAAAAAAAGGTCTGCTGTCAACACAATCCTCATTTTCAGGTTCATATTTGTATTTTGTGTCTCACATGTCTCCATGCTTTAATGTTCAAAAATCTCTTTATTTTTCTCATACTGCCTGTGCTGCAGCACCACTTTTCACCCTCTGTCTGAAACCAGAGCCCTGTCTGCTCTGATTGGTTAGCTGGCCAGCTCTGTTGTGATTAGTCAACCGCCAAGAGATTTCCCACCTCTAGCTTATCGTGGATAATGTGTTGAAACGCTAGCCGATAGAAGCAGGTTACAAAGTGAGTCCAATCAAGGCCTAAATAGGGCCTCTTTAAGAGATGTTTATGTGTTGTTCTACAGCATAACATGTCAGTAGATGACACACTTGTGAAGCTACATATAATACAAAAATGGCCGTTGCTATGAAGTAGCGAAAGGACACTACTTAACGTCAACACTATGACATTGGTCTGTTTAGCTTAGCAGTGGTGACAAAGTAATGTACCCTACTGTCGTTTTTTTTATGGCCTAACATTACCTTTTTGTATTGCATTTGAACATCTTAAAGTTGGTGTTAATATTTGGAGATTATCCTGCTGAATAAAACAATAAGTATCATAGATATTTGTTTGCAATAATTCAAAATCCAACGAAAAATCCCATTGGCTTTTTGTCAAGGGGTTTTTGTCGAGCTCCATGCAGTCCTTTATTACAAGCAGCAAAAGCAGATCAAGCAGCAACTGGCTAAAATGAAAACGTATTTCTGTGCCTGTGTGTACAATGAGGCCTCACACCTGCGCAGGCCCAGTGCATAAAGTACAGTTTGTGTGCATTAACACACTGTTATCAGAGTGGACAAACATTGAGGCGGTGTATAGAGAGCGGCTGGCAGCTGGGTCCGGATTATGAGACGCAGCCGTCATATGACCGGGTCGGAGAAAGGGTTTGTTGTGAGGAGCGGAGGGCAAGCAGGGGCCGAGCACATTAGCTTTATTAGCCGTAATTCTCTCTGAGGGAACACACATGGACAAACTACATATATGTGGAGTAAAGACATAGAAGGCCTTTCTGTTTTTTGTGAGGGACTAAGAGGAAATTACCTTTACAATTTAAAGGTCCCATGACATGCTTTTCCAGTTATTACCCGTCCCCTTGTGTGTTATGTAGCTTTTTCTGCATGTAAACGGTCTGCAGAGTCACAAACCCTCAAAGTACACCCTGTAGGGAGTAAAACTCTAACACAGAAAAGACCTGTCTATGCTGACCCAGAACGCCTCGTTGGAGATTTCTCTTTTTCCATTGTTTACTTCTTAGGTATAGTGACGTATTTCGGTTTGGGGTCTTTTTTGGTATGGGGTCGGCGAGACAGTGAGACACACAAACTCCCAGCCAGGCTGCGGGTGTTTGTGTGTGTTTTGCGCTGGGTTTAGCTGTCTCGCAGACGGCCACTGGGCTCACAGGGAGGGGGGGGGGGGGCAGGAGCTCCAACAAGCCGTTTAGGACAGAGAGTGAATACACATACTATACAGAGATGCTGTATGAGAAACCAATGTGAGTTTGGAAAATTGCACAATATACATTTATTTTAGTATACCTCAACAATGGAATTATGATCAGTAGAAATGGCCATGACATGGGACCTTTAATATTCTTAATGATATCCATTAGTTATGTAAAGCTTCTTTACTTTTTTTAACATGATTGTTACATACCACATTGTGCGATGTGCTGTTGCAATACTGGGTCATGCCAATAAAGCTTCTTTAAAATGCGACTTAAAAGCTGGGAACAGTACATTGACGTATAATGAGCTTAGAAAATGGATACGGTGAACTTGATAGCAAACTGTTGCTTATTTAAAAATCCATTTACACAGCAAAGATTAGCCTTCATTTGAAGTCGTGTTTCTGGCCACCTTCAGAGTAAGTATTTAACCCTGATTAACCTGCATGTTGACTTCTCTTGTAAGTTTCTATCTTTATGGTCTATTGCACTTAATGTAGGTAGTTTGGATAAAAGTGCAGCTAATTGTAATGTGACGCATACAAAAATATGCATATTGGCTGGTTTAACCCCAGGAGCCAAACAATGCAAAGAATAGGCGATAAGCGCTTTTTACATTGCCAGTAGACAAGAATGCCTGTTGCTATTTACACTACTGGTCTTTTTCTGGTGTGTCGCATCAGCTAAAACAGACATGGTAAACAGTTTGAGTTTTATTTAGTTTCTTTCAAGCTTGAATAAAAAAGTGTTTTGCAACGATCAGCAAGGTTAGATTACTGTTTCTGTGAATGGAGTCTTTCAATCAAGCCCGAGTTGTTCAAAAATAATAATACATTCCTAAATTCATGTTGATTTTATGCTTATTGCCCCAAAGAAAATGGTGCAAAAAACTAATAAAAGTTACATAGTAGATGATTTAGGCCATATCAACCACCCTTAGTCAGTAATGTTTAGACTGGTTTGTTTATTTTTAAAATGTATGTTACGGAAATTCTTTAAGTGAATCTACCCAAGTGTAGTTGATGTAATGAAAAACAGATTTTGTGTTCTCACAAACACAAAACAAACCCGGAACTGAGATTTGGAGAATTGTCGGACCCCTTAAAAGTGTGGTAACATTTTGTGAATGTACTCAAACCATTTGTAAACAATAACTCTTTCTATGTGTGTCTCACCTCGTTGTCGGACTCCACCAGGACTTGGTCGTACTCGCTGAGCGCCACCAGAAACATGATGGAGGTGACGTTCTCAAAGCAGTGGATCCACTTCCTCCTCTCTGACCTCTGACCCCCCACATCCACCATCCTGATCAGAACATGAAGAGAGGCAGGGCCACCAGACAAGGGGCAGAAAGAATCAAAGGAAAGAGACAATTAGCTCTAAAACTATACATCTCTAGATCTGTATTGTTTAAACTCAGGATCACAGTAGTAGCACATATGTTAGCATGCATTTCAAACAGAATCCCAGGATCAAAAGACAGACATTTTTAAGTTAAAACTAATTCTCAGTGCATTAAAGAGGCATTTATCTTCCAAAGCTTTGTATCCACTGATGGCCAATCACACGTTTCAAGGCCAGCGTGGTCTAACAATTACTGCTGCTTTCACATTATAACGAGACTAGCATAGTTCAAGACAAACGCATCTTTTTGCACCGAGAATATTTAAAACAGAAGAAAGAAGAACAGCGTGTGTGTGTGTGTGTGTGTGTGTGTGTGTGTGTGTGTGTGTGTGTGTGTGTGTGTGTAAACAATGCCATCTTCCCTCTTTTCTCTGCAGTGTGTGAGCAGGAGAGTTCAAGCAAGAGATGGAAAGTGATAATAAATATGTGCTGGTTTAGAAGTGCATGTAAAAAGGTGCTAAATGCGAGGGATATGAGGGAATATGAGAGGAGCAACGGATAGACATCGGGGGAGTGGTTGAAGGAAAAAACTGAATATTTTTAAGATTAGGAAAAATCATGGTGAAAAAAAAAAAAAAAATGGAGGAAAATGAAACATGAGCTTGTAAGCCTTGATTAATCGGTTTTATTGTAAAAGTAGGAGACACAGAGCGATGCACCACAACACAGACTATATCACCCCTGGTAAATACCAACAAACTATGTGCAATATATAAATGCCGTTAATAACTGTGTAATATATACCTGGTTGCTAAATCCTTAGAACTGTTACAAGGTGTGTATTTTGTATTTTGTCAATTGTGTAACTTGCTGCTGTTAAATACCAACCACCTATGTGCAATAGGTGCTAGATGTGCAATATATATAGATGCCGTTAATAACTGTAATATATACCTGGCTGCTAAATCCTTAGAACTGTTACAGGATGTGTATTTTTTTGAAATGATGTAACTTTTTATTATATCATAACTTAGTACTTTTTTTGAATGCATGTCACATATTTAACATATGTAACATTAAGCTGTCTGTGGCTCTTTTTCCTGCTATAACTACGCACATTTCCCCTCCGTGGGACTATTAAAGGTATTCTGATTCAGATTCTGATGCTTGGACAAACTAGTTTTAATGTCAACATCATTTTTTGTTTGAGGCTTTTAGTGCTAAAAATGCTGCTAGACATAACATTTAATAAAAGGCGCGGGGAGAGAAACTAATAAATAAAAGTGAATAAATCTTAAGTTAAGTTTTGAGTCTCTATTCCAGAAAGATTCACCCAGTTTTATTGAAAAGCAAGACAGTAAAACATTTAAGGAAGTCCAGCACAAGAGCCATCCTTAAACAAAACTCCTTCACATCAGACAACCTCCTGTTTTTTTTTCTATAGCGAGAATGAGTGACTTATTTTGTACGATAAGCTCCACTATGCTGAGTGGACCAAGTGAAATGACATTTACTGTGACTTCAAAAGCCAATTAAAAGAGGAGGAAGCAGGCCTAAAGGCGATGGTGTATGAAAGGCAGCCTTGTTGCAGCTCTGTAAACTGCACACAGTTGTTACTAAACACGAGTCTCAGCCCAAGGAAATCCTGCATCAAGTATCTTCCCTGTTTAATAACAGGAATACGACCTCGTCATAAATCACTACATTTACTACTATGGAAAACACTAGAACAAGAACAAAGACTCCCACTTATTGCTAGTAATAAAAGTAGCAATATTCAAACAAATGATAACTATACAAACTCAAAATGGAAGGATCTTGTGAATTAAATATATGAAATGGAAAAAATGATAAGAATTAGACATTTTGTTCATATCTTTGACGAAAGATGGGAAAAATGCTGCATGAATACAACTCGGAACTTTACTGAGTGTTCATCTTAAGAGCCAACTCAAGACCCACCATTTTAGTTTTGCTTTTAATTAATTTGATAGAGTTGTGTTTTATTTGGTCCTCTGTTTGGAGGCATTGAGTTATGTTGCTATAAAGCGTTGTATTTATTTGTATGCGTTGCTATGACTTTGGATTGGGAGGAGGGTTAGCATGGTTTTGTGAAGCACATTGTGTTACATTTAAATGGTGCTTTATAAACAAAGTGTGATTGATAGATAACTAATTATCCTCTGGTTAGATTTGACGATTAAGGTTTCTATGAAAACAAATGATGTTTCTGGTATTACACCCTATCAATTAATGTTCATCACAAACTATAACTCATCTGGTTTGTTTACCATGTAACATCATTTTGGAAAGAAATATTGAAAAAAAAAAATCACTAATTAAATTAAATTAGTAATGTTACTACTTCAACACTTATGTCCACTTACACACATTTGTACCTTGGATGTTTACTTACTGGATTTTTATTTAATTTCTGTGATATTTCCTCTTTATTTAATATGAATTACTAATTTAATCTGCACCGTCCCTTTGCTGTAACACTGTTAAATTCCCCGCTGTGGGACGGATAAAGGATTTCTAACATTCCTTCCCACTTCATATTTGTATTTCCAGTCCCTTCACACAGAGTTGAAGTCATGCAGTGGTTGTAGTGATTCACCGTCAGCACCACTATCAGCAGCTGGGAGCCTCTTCAGCCTCTGTGAGCACAGTTATTTCCAGCTTTGTGAGGCGTGGGAGGGGGCTGACACGATGGCTTCCTATCGATTTGCACTCTTCTGTGATCGCTGTTGTTCCCCGGGTCCAACACTATCTCCTCACCTCCTCTCTTTTTTTGCAAAAGAAGGAGGAAGGGAAGCTACTGAAGTCCTAAAGCTGTAGCTTCACTACACAGGGTATATGCAGGAATCCTGAAGTCAAATGTAAAACCTTTTAAGACCTTTTTTAAGACCCTTTCCATACATTTTAAGACCTCATCGCCACTTGGAGTTCTAACCGGTTACATTGGCGACACACTTTACCTCACATTGACTATATACAGTATTGATTGTCCTTCCTCCTTATCTTCCAACCATTTGGACGCAAACTTGCATTTCCCCATAACGATGTTGTTTAACAACCGGCGTAAACGGACCTTCGCGCGCTATCAAGCAGTGAGCGTGCGATGTCCTGTTCAGATGACGTCAAACCCAACGGGATGCCATAAATAAACTACACAGAATCACACTACACACCTACGCAATGATTACATTCAGGCAAACTGTAGAACAGTAGTTCTCAAATGGGGGTACGCGGACCCCTAGGGTATTTCTTTTTAAAAATACAAATTTTAGGAAAAGTAACGAAGTTTGAGCAGTGTGGGTTTTATATTAACAGAGTTACACATATTTCAAAACGCGAAGTGTAATAACTGCAGCGGCCTTCCTGTCACTGAGAATAACAAAGATCCTCAGTGAAGCACAAGCCCATGTTTCTCATTAAATTGTAAATACAACTTATTAAAAAGATCAGTTCAATGCAACTAAGTGTTATTGCATGATGTTAAAATTGGTTTGCCATGAATTTAGTGATGGATTGTAAACATTTGAAATGTAGCATTTAAGTGTTTCTCAGTTAAAAGGTTGTTTTAATAAATCAGACACTGATGGTGCAGCGCTGTACTGTACCTCTTTATATAGGCATTTTTTCCCTAACAAATTGTTTTTGCGCTGATCAGGGGGTACTTGGCTGAATTATTTTTTCAAACGGGTTACATTATTGAAAAAAGTTTGAGAATCACTGCTTTAGAATACAACCTCTTTGGACAATTTATATACTTATTGAAAACAAGCTACAACATGTAATACCTTGGAAAATGCCGTTTAATACTTTTTAATAGCCTTAATTTTCTCTAAATAGATTTATCAACTTTTAATACTTTTTACGACCCCGCGGACACCCTGCTACAGAGAAAACTATTATCAGAAATACTGCCTTGATGAGCCTTTCAGTTACTAAACATGCTACAACTACAGCTTTGGCTTTGTAATAAAGCCTGGAAGTACGTCATAACATGTATATTTTCATTATCTTTTATTCGGCCAATTAACTGGTGTTCTATAAAAAGTCTTAACAAATTGTGTCTCCCAGCGGATGAACCAGGTGATTATAACACTGAATGAAGTCTCTCCGACATTAACATTTGTCTGCCCGTTTCTCAAATAACTTAAGACCCAAACGTCAGATGATTAAAATCCTTCATCAAGTTAAAATACATATTTAAAACAACCAAGAACTAAAACGGGAATCATTCACATAAAACTGGATTAAAAGTCAATTAATGACGGGCGACCAAATTGAACTGACCGTGTTGTTCTTTATTAACTGGCGAAACATGTTGAGGCGTTTATTTGTCACCAAGGAGAGCATTAATTAGGGTTTTTCATCAAATAAAAACTCAAGGACAATAAAGTCGACTGTACTGTTACCATTGTAAGAACGGATGTCCCAGAATAAAGCAGAATAGAAATGGTAAACTTTGAAATACTAATCAATGATCAAAATAGTGAATTCAATTTGTCCAACTACATGTTTTTGACTGAATGCATTCCAATATGAGAATGGATTTGGGACATATTCAGACAAAATAAGGAAATAAAACAATGTTGTAGGTGACATACAAACATGTTGAGTCAGACTTAAGATGGCTTTTTTGGATTATAAAATGAAAACAGAACACTAATAGGGTACAGAAGTGGGGTTAGACAAAGTAATGTTGTTGTTCTTCTACCTGAAAATGATGCTTTGCAAGTCGAAAGGGTATTCTATGATCCCAGTGGTTGGGATTCGAACCCTAAGCACGTCCTGTTGGGTCGGTAGATAGCACGGTTCAGCAATACGATCCAGATCACTTAGATAGCTAGAGACAGGAAGGACAACAGACAGAGAGAGGGAGGGAGGGAGGAAAGAGAAGATGAAGCATGAAGTTTGGAGCAGGAGTTCAAACAAAGCACAAGCATCATTCAGTTTAAAAGGATGTACAGAAACACTTTTTGGGAAAACTATGAGAATGAAGAGAGGTGATTGAAGATGAGAAATTATTGTATATGTATGTATTAATGTAAATGTAAGTAGGAATAACTTGCATCATTATTTAAAGGACAATCATTGATCAAGTAAGGGGTGGGAATTAATAAGCATTTGCTTCCTCCTACTCCCTTTCGGACACATATGATTTATTATTATTATTATTAATATGAAGACTTTTTTTTGTTGAATATATAAATATTATCATGAATGTGGATAAATACTGTATTTTAACAATACGGTATTCTGTTTTTCACATTTATTATTTGTTAATTTTTTAATCTGTTCGAAATAAAGATTGAAATGAAATGAAATGAAGCATAACAGCAGAAACAGCACCCCCCCTTCCTCCGAAAGCAAGTGGACTAGTCCAGATGTAACCACAGAAAACCATTCCCAAGAGTTATGAGGGGAGGAGGTGACGTTTTGAACCTCTACTCCCCAAACGTTCTCTTAGAAATGTAGCTTCATCCTTGATGGCAGCTCCCTAAGATAAAATATTCCTCAAGTTTATCATCTGTGAAGGTTTCGGGGCTTTACACTGGACTCAAAATGATGATTTAGCATTCAGAGGCCAACTTTGACAACCTAGGTGAAAAAAAAAAAGTGACTCCCTTTTCTATTAAGACTCAACAGGAGGGGATTTTTTGGTCTTTGAGAGTGTACCATCAGGGATGTGTTAAAGTGCCGAGTAGATTTCCAACTGGCTGGCAGACTGTGGAGCAGCTAGCCAATCGGTGGCCTCATCAGCAGCACCTGACACCAGTACCCGAAGATAATATTCTCCAGGTCAAAGGGGTACTCGATGATGCCGGTGGTGGGCACTCGGATCCGCAGCACGTCCTGCTGAGTGGGCATGTACCCCGCTGTCGCTATTCGATCTAAAGCGTTAAGGTAACTGTGGAAGGAACATATGATAAAGATGCACAGGTCGGAAAACAATTGCTCTGTCAAAAAAATATATTACCATCAAAAAGGGGGTGGATTAAAAAGGAAAGGAAAATGTTCTTCAATACAGTAGTGCTCAAACTCTTTTAGTTCCCCAAATAAACGTTTTGCATATTGATGCAAGTGGCCGAATGCTTTTTGATGTCTCAAAATGTTACCATAGGATAAGTTCCAAAGGGAAGGACATTTATAACATTAAAGAATATTTTCTGGTCTAATAATGCATCTTTTAATATTTTTTCCCCTAGAAATCTGCTTGCGAACAAATTGGGAGTTTGAGAACCAAAGCAATATGCATAGAGCCACAAGTGCCTCATAAATATATAGTTTATACAAATACATTTATTATTAAAACTTTATTTCTCATCCTAAAACCTCAATTATTTAAAAGGAGCCCTTTTAGTCTGAAATGGATGAATGCAGGTTGGAATTAGCCCTGATATTATTAGCAGTCGTTTATAAACCTGTCAACATTTCCTCCTCTTCTCCACATCTGCCTGAACCCTCTTTTCCTTTCTTCAGATGTAGTACATAGTAACACAGGTACAAAACTACTCGATATGGTTTATTAGCAATCTTCAATGCAACTGTGGTTACATTGTATCATGTTTAAACTATCGAAACAGTTATTTACCAGTTTTATCGCATTGCAATGGATATTTTACAGGCTACAGTTTAAGAGATACGAATGATGAAGATGAATAAGTTGGACGTACTATTTGGTAGAGTCAGAGAGCTGGTACTCTCTCCTGCGGTCGTAGGCCTCCTGGATGCCAGGGTCCGTCCACAGCATCTTTATGGCACTGGTGTACGGCTGCTCGAAGGAGCAGACCTTCTCCACGTCCACCTCACGCACCACCAGGGCATTACTCTGGAGAGGAGAGCAAAGGAGAACACTTTAAACAAGTCAGTTTAGTAGGTGAGGATTTTATGTGGAGGAAATCAATTCACGATCGAAATGATGAAGTGATAGCCTTGAAATGTCAAAGTAAGCATGGCTTGCTTATGGCGCTTTCCCACTGCAGGACCTAGCACAGCTTGTATGTATGGTTTGGCCTTGGTAGGCCAGGCTCACTTTAAGCTGCATTTCCATTACAGTTAGTAACTGGGGTAGTAACTATAGTAACGACGCAGTGTAGGCGGGACGATCGGCTGTTCAGCGAGCGGAGCGACGCTGCGTAAAACTGCCTTGCCGTCATCTTCAATGCGACACAACTCTCAAACACCATAACAATGGAGGATATGGAAGCGATCGTGTACTTGGTTCTTGATTTTTATCACAAACTTTGTTTCAGAAAAGGCTGCGTATAGCAAGACGAAATACAGAAGAAGCTAACAGGAGAGTTTGGGCAATCCTACAACGCAGCAGAGACGACTAGACAACTGATCACTACAAAACGACAACGCTACTTGGTAAGCTAACGTTCGCTAACTAGCAATGTGTTTAGGGTCACGGTCACTATACGACCAGTGTTTCAAGTATTTAATTAATTTTAGCTACCACTTTTACGTATTAAAATATGTATGCTTTTTTATGTGTATTTCAGATGTTATACCATTTGCAAAGTCGCCACCGCAGACTGTGTTTGGACGTTCAACCGAGCTACCGAGTGGTGGGGTGTGATTATTCCATCTTTCACACACACTCAGTGGGTGCAGAACTTCAGGACGTCTGAGGAAACCTACATTTGTGCAACAAATGTCATGGAGAGGCCTGTGATGGTGAATGTGATGCACCAGCAGCAGCAGAGCCTGGGGTAGCAGTGGCACAAGGTGCAGAGGAGGGCAGTGACATACGAGAGGGTCTGATGCGCTAATTTAATAGCAACACATTCATTGTACTGATTGTAAATTGTATTGAACATAAATCAATCTTTTTTACTCTTTCACATATACATGTGTTTGTCAAATGATTGACTATTTAGTAAATATTTGAATTTCAAGCACCTGTAAGTACTGCCCCATAATAAGAACATTTGAGAAAATAACAGATCATGAAAAGAAAATCTTTCTAATAAATTAAGAAAGTTGTTTTGTGGTCTGTTTTGTTTGTTTAGATCTACTATTAAAGGTGGGGTAGGTAATTTTGAGAAACCGGCTCGAGATCGCTAGAATTTGAAAATACACAACCGGAAAAAATCTGCCACTTCCTTACAGAGCCCCTCCTCCAACACACACGAACGAGCACATGACCAATGAGGGCACAAGATAAATTTGTGCACAGATGAAAGGCTGACAGGCAGGTAGGCCATCCAGTTATTTTAGCCGGGCCGGCTCAGATGATTGGTCGTGCTTTTTACACGGCTTCCACAGATGAAATTTTTTTATGTATTTATTGTCTACAGAATTTAATATATTCATTGCTATCGGGATGTTAAGAGCATTCCATGGAATATAACAAAAAGTGTTTCTGAAATAAATGACATACCCCACCTTAAACACAGAGGAAATCACGATAAAAATACTTGTTACAAACAAACAGTTTAATCATCAAACAAGTGCAAATAACAAAGCAAACTATAAACATAAATACAAAAGTGTAAAACACAGCAAAACTATATACATAAATGCAAGTGTAAAAGGCCACTAAGGCCAGCTGCAGGTGCCGTTCCTGCTGGGCCAGATCTGCACTGTGCATCTCCCTCAGGACTGTGAGGTGCTCCTCTCCTCGTTTCCTCTTGCCTGGAAGACAATAAGATAAACCTTTTTTAATCACCGTAGGGAAATTCAGGTGTTATAGCAGCAACAGCAATAAGAATGAAAAACACAGGACAGGTACAGGTCACATAAGGATATAAGAATAAAATATACAAGTATAAACAGAACAACAGTAAGGATGAACTAAAGACAGTTCTGGCCCTCGATGTTTACAATGATTGTGAAAGTGAATTACATTATGTCCAGCCTGTTGATAATGAATATAAATATACATATTTATGAGTATGTACAAATATACAGTCATGAAGTAAATGGATAATTACAAATGAATACAAGTATGAATAAATATGAGACCATAAAAATCTAAAACAAAGCACAGTCCAAAATAAGTGGAAAGCAGTGCAGGTCCATGTGTCTGCGGCACAATACTTAACAATGAACAATATACAAGAATATATTAGGATGTCACACACAATTTTACTAGCTGCAACATTAATAGTGATTCTTACCACTTTTACTTTTGGTACGTTACTTTACTTGTAACAGAGCATTTCCACACAGTGGTATTGCTTATTTTACTTCCTGACGATGACCTATTTCTTACTTAACTCTAGAAAACTGGACGTAAACAATGGTACATATGGTGTTAGCAAACAATAGCTCTAGCTAATGCTATCTGTGCTAACCGTAGCTCTTCGGGGCTCCATAAAAGCATGGGTTGTCGAACATAAATGTAAGGATAAAATAGGCTTGTTTGTTAGAAGTGAGCTTTCAAGCAAAGAACAGAGCGTTAGCAAAAACTTACCATCCTGCATGGATGCAAGACGCCGTTGCCGAGTCCAGGCGTCGTTTCGCGTTGCGCCGTCGGGCTCCCGCTGTATTTTTTCATCCGCAACGAGATGGAGTAACGTCTGTACCTCGTCAAACGACCACGGCGTGTTTTTTTTGTTGCTGCCATTTCTTTATGGATTTGTTGACGGTAGCTTGTCTGTTTAAAAATAAATGGTGCTTGGGGACTGTCTCGCGCAACAATTGTGACGATTCTCTCCGACGGGAGTGTTTACGTCACTGGTTTAGCATATTCAGCTCGGTTGTTGGCTCGGTAGGAACCTCGATTTTGGAGGGCCAGAAAAAAAAGTGAAAACGTACCCGTGAGCCGGAACTACCCCTAGTGGAAAAGCAAAGAAAAGCGGGCCGGGGCAAACTAAACCGTACTAAGCCGTGCTAGGTCCTGCAGTGGAAAAGCACCATTAATCATTATGAATAAAATGTCCAAGAGAATACAATGTATTTGTATATTGGCCACATTCACTAACTCTATAGTGCTTTATTCCTTTAAGAATACATATTACATACAAATACTCACTTTAATATCAGAATTCACTTCTCAAGCGCAGTTTCCTTATTTATGGTTTATTTGACTGTAGTTTGAATTGCATGAGGGTGCACGCTTTGCAAAATTCTGGGCTGATACCTATACTGTTTAAAAAAAAAAGTAAGATATGGTCGATAGCTGATTTCATAGTTTTTTGTTGTTTTTTATTTTATAGTTATTTAAGTGTTTGCTGCAGTTTTCAGAAAATGGCATTTCCTTATTCTTAATAATCCACAACTACTAAAGCAGCAAGAATATGTGTGAGAAAAAAATTGTTTGATCTCAAAACTGAAATAACCAAAACTTCTGCAACATCATAGTGTGCTGTTGTAAGATCCCATGACTCGTGGTATGAAACCAATCGGGGAAATACGTCTCAGTTTGTTTTGAACAGTTTCAACAATTCAGTCATTTCATTAGCTACTCTTTATGTATGGACATATTTAACCAGAAAGCTATATATAACCTATGTATTTGGATATCCATCTAAAAAAATGTAGACCACAACCCTATTTTCACCCTCCCACCTGGTACACACCTTGTTCTGCTCGTACTTGAACGGGATCTTGAGGTTCTCCGTTGCCCGGATCATGGCCTGCATCGAGGTGAAGATGTTCTGGTAGACCAGTTTGGTGAAGCCCTTCTTATCCTCATCTGTGTAGCCGGACCCGTGGATTATTCTCATCTGCTTGATGAAGGTGCTCTTGCCACTCTCTCCAGTACCTGAAAAGAAGCAAGAAGACAAAGGAATTAGAAGACAATTTAAAAAGGATCATCAATGGATACAGGATATATACAATATTGCGAATAGGTATGAAAATTGTCCTCCAATCGCTAACAAAATAGAAAGTCTTAGTATCCTACAGTGCTGCAATCAACTGAAGAGAAAATATTTAAATGAGATAAACTGTGTGCAGATACATTTGGAAATGGAAAGACAGTTAGTGGGTGTGTCCATATTGCCTTTTCTGTGGTCTCTATTTTTGGTTTTCCATTGGGAAAAGTTGTGACTACTACAATAACCATGTCTTGAAAACATTTCACCGCTCTCACCGCCAATGCATGGCGTACTGTAATATCCCCTTAGCTTTTAATGATCTATTTGAGCAGCTATCTTTTAGTTTGTCAAGGTTTTTTTCACCATGAGCACCAACCGGAGGATTGTGATAGTGGGAACATCAGCGACTTTTCTGAGAAGTTCAGAGATTTTGAACGAGAAATGTGGGAGAAGCAACAAAAAACACTGTGCCCAGGAAGCCACATATGCTCTCTCCTCAATGGAAACAATTAAAAAAGTTGATGCTATCTGAAAAAAAACTATATGGACACCCAGCCTAATGTAAAACCTTCAACATTGGGCAAAAATAACAGTGAGAATAATTCATACTTATTGTAGTAGAAAAACGACAGAGCAAACCACCTGTGGTTTTTAAGAAGTTCTTAACGGTCAAAAAAGAATAACAAACTTTCTCAATTGTTATTATTTTTATACACTGCTTATACAAACGGGTGAGTAGAAATGCATCCCATCATGCCCACAAGAAGTGAGCCAGACCTCAATGTCAACGCAGTCTCCATCTTACTATGACAGGACGCTGAAATGGTCATTCTTCCATATTGTGTCAACTCATGGTTTACTTGATGTATAATGGAGCTGCAAGTATGATTTGTATGTTATTGTATTTATCAAGTAATACATAGATAACTCTACTTAATGATTGTGTTACAGCAGCAGAGTATATATAGAATACACAATATAACAATAAATAAGTACACTATGACACACCCAACTACTTCAACTTAAATGTAATAACATAGGATAAGATGCAACATTTGGTTTTTACATATCCCTGTATTGAGGGCTCTAGACAAGAATTTAAATCAAAAGTTGGAAATGTATTTTGACCAAAGTTTCTTTAGTGATTTCGGTCGAGTCACTGCCTCTTGTCATCTTGGTTTTAGTGTCCCGAGATATGCATTGTTACAAAGCGATGTAGTCATTGTTTTGGCTGCGGCTACAGTCTTGGTAAGTGAAGCAATACCCCATGAGTAACCACATGAGGGCTGATGGGCTCAACATAGAGCTGGGTAAACCAAGTTCACTCCTCCAATTTTGTATCACAGTGACCATGCATATGCACACATGCGTAAACACACAGATGGTGTTTTTCCATACACATGTGCAGGCTGGGCTTGGCTCGGTTTGTTGAGGCACGTCAGCCGAGCACAGCAAAGATTGTAATTGTTATTACAGCAGGGCTATCTGATTGAAGGTGGTCTACCTGATCAATGGTTATCACTGGTGGTCAAACGCATTTCATTTCCTATAAATTCTTAATATATATTCCCTGTCATGTTTGGGGCTTACTCTTCCCTGCAATATTCTTAGGATTGTTGCTATTGTGATATAGCCGCAAACAAAACTAATTTAGAGATAAACATGTATCGTAATAATTCATGTATATTTTTCACAATAAAAGTCCTCTGTATTTAAAAGATCGGGGATGTCATCATTTGTACGCCAACCCTCAGGTTCGAATCGCACTGATTGCCTCGATAATAAGTCAATGGGACCGTTCCATTGGATTTTTGAAGCTCTGTGGGATTGAATTATGTTAACAATATTTTCACATTTGTTTAGGAAGATAATATTCACAAAGGAGCACCACTTTTTTTTTAAGCAGAAATTAAATCCTCAAAAGTAAAATGCTACAGTTAAACCTCGCCACGGTTGAAGGACTCCACGTCGTACTCTGATTTAGCCACTTGTTAGCAACCAGCTCTAAGACACAAAACCTTAAAGATGTGTGTAGGGTTAGGGAACAGTGTAAAAATCTCTTGAGCTTGTGTTAACCACAAACCTTTTTACAGGCATTTAACAAAAAAACACCATTGACCCAAAACCAGGGAAGTCTGGTGCTAAAATGCTAACTCGTTTCAGGGATTCAGGACAGATCGCTGCACAGAGACTTATAAAAATGTCTCTCTGGTCTCATGGACACAATTTATGTTACGCTCTCAAAACAGGCTTGTTTGACTGTGAGAAGGGGGGTCGGTAGTCTTTGGAGAGACTTTGGAAATGGTCTCCGTCAGGTGCGGTCAGCATGCATAAACTGGAAATGGAAATCGTTTAGGAAAACCATGCTATGGCAAAATAGAAAAACTGTGTCATAGAAAAAAGCCTGCTTTAACAATACATTTAAGAAAAGCGGAACCACAATAACTTTTCCAAGATGGCTTCCACAGCAGGTTCTGCATATTTTTTATGGGCATTTCCACCACTCCAGGCTTAGGGGATGAAATCGAGTTTTGTATTCTGGTCTCGGCTAGTTTAAAAAGGGACGTTTAAAAAAGACAAGGCAACTCATTCCTCCTCCCTTACACCCCCATATTCCACCACCTAGTATCTTCCTCTACTCCACCCCTCGTCTCTCCATCTCACTTCTCCTAACATTCAGCGTGAGTCACTTCAGCTTCATGTTCTCTCTGATTTCTATCTTTCACTCCTGTCTTTGTTTCTACTGATGGAGAGCTGCTACTGTGAAATATTTTCATTATAAATTAATTTCAAGATTAGTTTTTCATACAAATCAAATGACTCTGTAGCTTAAATTGTCTGTTTAAATGTATAAAGCACATGTATAAACATATAATGTACAAACTTGTTTGATTTAAGTTAGCAATGTTTGATATATTAAGGGATATTTGCAAGTTATATATATATATACATATATATGTATATTACATATCGACAAATTGCTTGCAGAATTAAAAACAATATTTTAAACAATTTTGTATTGTTCAAACTGTACTATAATTTTAGAAATGATAAGTTACATTTAAAAATATTTTTCAACCTACTCAAAAAATACCTTGCAATAGAGTTTTAAGACGTTTTATTCACGCAAGTTTACATTGCGATGCCTTTTGAAAAGAAACCCCTATCTCCTTCTTACTTTGATGAAGAGAATGCTTTGTTAAAATGTTTATTTAATATGCGTCTCACCCACCATTAAGTACAGCTGAGGGTGATCAGAAAGTCAGTCAGTGAAATGGGTAAAAGGAAACAAAAACAAATAAACTTAAAGATTGGGCACCATCTGAAAAATACAACCATTTACTATTATTATTGACTGATATTGCAATTGTGACACAATTTGCAATATTTAAGGGAATAACATTATGGTGTGATCTTTATTGCTATGTTTTACAAATGCTGCCTTAACCAACTATTGCAATTTTGATCACATTTGGATTAGATTGTGCAGCCCAACAAAAAAACAAACACCAGTGATGCTGATAATGTTTACAGCCGTACTGTCTGGGCACGACAGTAATGGCTGATTAGATAATTTGATTTGTGTGATAAGGTGCAGCTGCTCTTTCCGAGGCAGAGGAGCACAAATATCATGCATGAAGACGAGAGTAAAGTTTGACTGTCGCTAACAGAAGAGCCCGGTTCAGTGCACAGTGAAGGAGGATCTCTCACTGATCACAGCTCAGCCAACAGCGGAGTTTCCCCTTCAGACACAGTACGTCTTTCAGAGAGGGACATAAATAGCGATTGTCAAGACACAGCACTGGAGAGTTCACTTTCTCATTGACTAAAGAGCTGAAGGAGAAGGGAGGGGGATACTGGGATGTGAGGGAGTAAGAAAAGAAAAAGTGCATTCTCTCTACTTTCTGAGTAGAGAAATGAAGGGCGTTAACAGGGGATGGATGCATCAGCTTGTTGTGTAATTGAACGTCTGTGTGTGTGTGTATTCATGTGTACTTAAAAAACACACAATCACAGGAGCAAGGCAAGTGACAGATTGAAAAAGACAGAAGGTGTAGTATGCTGTATGGATGGTAAAGCCCAGAGGCCAGGGTGTTATGAATGTTATTTAGCTGCGTAAATAAAAATCAACATGTCTTGCAGGCATGATCAGCTTAATTCAACAGATCCTATTGTTCTCGCTGCCTGACTGGAAAACCCAGCAGAAGCATTTCTCACGGACAAGCTACTGTACATTCGCCGGAGCTGCTCCTGAGGGGTAATGCTAGTTCCCATGGCAACTCCAGTGTGGACTCATAAAAACATGGCAGAGAGCACCAGCTGATAGGCCCAGCTGATTGGCTTCAGTACGTCTCCACAGAGCACAGTCAAACATTTCTTAATCCCACAACATCCTCAGCCAGGATCCGCCTGTGGGAATTCAAAAGTTATAAAAGCAACGGACATGGAGATTTCAATCTTATAAGCATCTTATTCTGTATGAATGTGTGTTTTTTAAGCAAGATAACATTCACTTTTTTAAAAGATGTATATACTCAGCTGTAGGTGTTTTAGGTCCGGTAATAACAGGCCTGTAACAAATCATACTCAAATAAAGGTTATCAACTTATGTCTTCCTTCTTTTGAATACGTTTTGTGAACATAATATTAGTAATCCCTTTCTGCAGAAAACCACACATTTGCAGACGCAAAAATAATCATATTGTTGATTTAAGAAATTAAGCATGATAACCTTCATTAGGTATGTTGTATTAGACTTCATTGGAGTACTTACTTTACACGCTGTGCTATATATATATATATATATATATATATATATATATATATATATATATATATTATATATATATATATATATATATATATATATATATATATATATATATATATATATATATATATAGATATATATATATATATATATATATATATATATATATATATA